TGGGCCATAAATGCCAAGGAAGTCTGCCACTTGGGCCCCCAATCATGGGCGGCATTAAGAGTTAAGTCTAAGGATTTGAACTGGCACCAGAAGCCAGCTGGGAGCCAAGGTAGGGTGAAGAGCACCAAAGTAATGCATTGTTCATGGGCTTTTATGCTAAGGAATCAGACTATTCACATTCTTTGACTCTGCGAGCGAAATCTTGGGTTCTTGTTTCAGTCTTCTATACAGAAAGCAAGCACATTTCACATTTGCCAAGTCACTAAACTGGAAAACTTTCACTGAGCACAAGAATCTCTTGAACAAAAAGATGAGTGCACCAAACCCTAATCGCTCACCCTCTTTTTCAACCCAGTTATGGCTAAGGCCCCCTAGTTCTGAAACAGGCTAATAGTTAGGAATGTGTTTAGGCCTTAACAACGCATATAATGGTTCAAATCCTTGGTGTACTTACAGAAGAAACACTTGAAACCATACCCTGAATAACTTCTGGCTTGTCTGTGGGACACACAAACTATAACCATGCCGAGGCAGCAAACCAATCTAAAGAGCTCAGATTATTCGGGACCATCTCACTACAATGGTTAGTTGTATGAAGCAAACTTGCAAACTTCCATAGTTACAAGGCATCTTTCCTCCAGAGTATTTTTGCTTACTTAAGTGCTTGGTTTTGGACAGGCAACAGCCCTGCAATAAGCTGGGCTGGAGGCAGGCGCAGTAATTGCTCACAAACAGTGAACAGTATTGAGATGAAAAGGGGAAGAACAACAACAAAATCTAACCCTGCAAGGTCCCCTGATATAAAATGGATTAGACTCGTCTTGCTAACATGTGACACCAGACAAGCTTTCTACTGATTTTTCTGTGATACCAGCGAATGGGACAAATCTTTCACAAGGAAATGGAGTATTTAAAAATATTTATGTTTCCAAGATGATAGTCGTACAGGAACCACTCCCTGCTCGCCCCCTCTTTCCTGGGATGCCATCTGTTTTAGAAAGAGGCCCTTTTCTTGAATATGGGCCATTTTTTGAAATGGTCTCCAAATCTGATCCTAATTTCCAGACCAGAGAAGGTTGGATATATTTGCTGCAACTGGCTACATCAGGCTCTTTAAAAGAAATTTCTAGTGTTTCCCAAATTCCTTTTAGCATCTACTTATTTTTCTGACTAAGAACACAGAATGCAGGGGCAGGAGAAAGTAAAACAAACAAACCAACAAACCAAAGTTAACCAAAATGTTTCAAAAACGTCAAAGATAAGCTCAGGTTTGGGACTGGTCCGATTCTGGCCAAAGGTTCACATAAATTCATGTATGATCATTTGAGCTGCCAATCCCACATGGATGACAATGTCTGGATACCACCATTAAAACAGTGAGACAGGACATGCAAGCTGATGAGGTGGTGTCTTGTGTAAGAACAAGATCTGGGTCTTTCTCTCTTAACCCTCCCCCTCCTCCCCACCCACACATGAGAACAAGTTGGCAAGGGGATCAAAAATAAAGCCTTGGAGGAAGATGGACCGAATGATAAAGAACTTCAGGGAGAGGGAAACTTTGTGAGCGTTGTTAAGGACATCTGGGGCAGCACAGCTGGGGTGGGTAGGGCTACCATTTTCTGGAATACAAGGAGGGGGATAGTTTTATACAAGACAAATCTAAGTTTCAGGAAGGAAGTTAAGACACCAGCCGTGTGAGGAAAGAAGACACAGACAAAGGAAGATCAGAAAGTTTGGAAAAGGGACCAACTCTGTGGCTAGGAGTTCACTTGCATTTCTCTGAATCAAGAGGGAAGACTACTGAGACCAGCAAGAGAATGCTCTGGCCATAGATGGCTCCAACAAACTATTCATCTAGTTTCTGGTCCATATTTACACTTCTTCTGAAGTGTCTATCCTGGAAGAAGTAGAGCTTTTTGTTTAACTGTAGTGCCAACCTACCCATCCAGTGAGGGGGAATCTGAGGCAGGAGGAGTTAAAGACACTGTGTCACAAAGTCTAAATATGGCTTTAATTGCTTAAATATAGGCACACTGATTGAGCTTAATGAATAAAAAGAAAAACATCAGCAATCTTCCAGTTAACACCATGAGTTCTGGCCTTATCCTTTTGCTTCAGCCATTGAATTTCCCTGCCACATTCAGCCAGTCACATGACATTACTGTACCTCAATATGGTTGTCTGTAGATCATTCTTATCTATTTCAAACAAGGGCCATGAGACTCAGTTCATTTATGCTTGTAAAGCACTTTCAGATCATTGAATGGGAAGGAGATATGAGAGAGTCAAGAATATTTGTAATAAAACCAAAATGGGGCCTTGAGTGTGGGAAATTCCTTCTCTCTACAATCATTTACCATCCTGGGCATTTTTTCATTTAGGATCAGCCAGAAAAGGAAAGCATTGGGAAAATTATTCAGTGAAGAGAGATTTACAGCCTTCATTATTTTTAACCAATGAAAGCAAGAGTCATACTTGGCATATTTTTCCCAAAAAGGGTGTAACAGTCAAATTAGAAAGAGACAGAATAACAAAAGAGGGTGATTCTGAGGAAATAATGAAAACCTTGCATACTTCCAATAGAGACCAGCCTAATGCAAAATCCTGGAATGTATGCAGCCATATTGGAGGATTTGAATATGGGAGAAAACTCCTTTCTGACCTCACACTGGTCAGCTGAGTCTTTGAAACATATTTAATTATTCTTATTTTAGTTTGCAACCCCATGCCAGTAGTTATTAGGTTATCCTATTCAATCATTTAAAGATATAGCCATGGTATCATTATCCCTTTTGACCTGAACGGTTTTAACCAAGCACATCCATCATGTACTGGGTTCAGTTTCCTTGACACCCAATCCCCACAATACCAGTATTTTACCCAACAAGAATTTTTGATGCAGCAAATTCATCAGAATGATTACAAGGTGTGAACATACATTCTCTTTTGTACTAAAATGAGCCTGAAGTTAATTTGAGTAACATAGAGCTCATATTTCATTAGGTCTTTCATTTTTTTAAATAACACAAAGTTCCTCTAATTCTTCTCTTTTCCAGGTGAAATGAGTCTAAATTTTTCAGCCTTTTGTTATATGCAAGACCTGTCACATGCGGCTCTAAAACCATGCATACTGCTGTTCTTCAGACTTTTAGCCTTGTTTATAATTATAATAAAATTTGTTTCAATTGCAATCAAATAGTTATTTTCTGTACAAAAGGTTACTATTCTAGGCCCCAGATATCATATACTATATCAAGCAGAGTGTGTCATGCATCTGAAACTAAAATCTGGTCCAAGGCATTTAACTGCATGTCTGGGTGATGAACTAGTGCATTGTAGCTGATGAACAGCTTACAATAGCCAATATTCAGTCATACATTCTGGTAAGAGTGAGATGGAATATGATTAAAATATTTGCAAATGTGACTCCGAAGGGTCATAAACATTCTTTGCCCATGACCAGAAATGGCTCACTGAGAGGCACTATCTGCAGCAAAATCCCATTCCTGCCCCTTTTCTGGGGCTTTTCTCTGCTATAAGCCACGATGAGGCTGTTAAAAAGGACAGAATATGTGCATTGGGTTCAGTTCCTTGCTGGCTATCTCTTGCTTAGCTGCTCCAAGACACTTCCTTTTGTAAATGTAAAGCCATTATCGTCACATAAGGAGTTCTATTTGGTATCAGCAACACAAGGCTCACGTATATACAGTGCACATAAGAATAATTGGCTCAACACACTAGAAACAAAGGTCTTTGCTCTGGGCCCATCTAAGCATTGCTAAGTATTTTGGCAGAAGTAGATAAAAACTCAAATAAATTCTCATTCAAGTCAAAAGGCTTTTCCCAGTCAAGTGCACGGGCCTCTCATAGTGGCCACAAAAAGCATTTAAAAAGAGTTTGGGAAATTCTGGAAGACTTCCCTCTCACTTACCAATCCGCTCCAACTTTATATGGACTAAGTCTGTGATGTGCAATATCTTCCAGTGTATGAGAAGCCCATCATCAGTGCTCCATGCTCACAGAATAACAAACCTATCTCAGAGCATCAAAAGAGGAACAAACATGGATATTTTCTCACCCCTGTAGAATGAGTGAAGGAGTTCAGCTTGTGATGAGTAAGGTATCCACGCTATCAGGCACCAGAAAGGCCAGATTTTTACGTCTTTGTGTTAACAGTGTTTCTAGCCTTACAGAAGACTCAGGAAGGAAGACAACTATTTTCTGGGTACTATTTTCTCTCATTGACTCACTTTGTGATTGAGGGAAAATCCCTTAGCCTCTATGCTTTAGTTCCCCATCTGTACGATGGAGGTGACTTAACCAGGGTATTGTCATGGTTGGTCTATTAATACATGCAGGCTTTGAGATCTTGAGATGCAAGTCACTTTGCAAGTGTTACTATTACAGTATAATTTGAATCAGGAATTGCTTTTATTCTCAGAAACACAAGTCAGATGTAGGTTGAGCTAAGCTCAGTAGAGGAAACACTTTAGTAAAAACTTTTGTGGAAAAGTACAAATTTCTCTAATCAACACATCAACTTGAGAATGTCTTGTTTATGTATTTTATACTGTAGTTCCAGTGACTGGGATGAGTACTTCTGACCCAGGCAAGTGCATGAGTGCAAAATATGCCAAGATGGTAATAGATTTTTCCCTATGACTCTTCTCAAAAGTTTCCTTCTTGTATGAATTACACTCACTCAGGAGTAGCAGTGATCTCTCTGGATTAAGGGTCAGACATACTGCTGGTGCAGCATCATTGCAAAACTATCTCCTTTTCTTGCCTCTGGTTTACTGGGGCCTCAGTGAACAGGAATTCACCAACAACACACTTGCAGTTTGGATACTTTAAAATCTACTCAGAACCTAGGCTAATTCCATGCATATAATCTCACCAAGTGGGAGTTCACCAGTTTCTTATGGTGCCCCAGGTGGATGAAAGTTCCTTCAACTGCCCCTCTGGGCACCCTATGCCCCTTGGCAGTGGTCCTTCCTTACCTGTGTAATTAGGAGGGCAAAGGCAGACGTAGTTGTTGATTCCATCCATGCATGTGGAGTTATTCTCACAATCGTTATCTTCACAGTCATCTGGGTTGATTTCACATCTCTCCCCCTCATATCCTAGAGGGCAAGAACAGCTGTGGGGGTGGGAGTGGTGGTGGGGGACAGGAGATAGAAAAACAGAGGACAAGTTAGTTTGGATTCCAGATTTTGCTTTTGAGCAGAAAGGAGGTACTGGAGTAAGATGAAAACTGATACAGGCGAGCTGTTCACTCTGCGGCTGCAACGCTGCAGCATTCACATTACTAGTGAATTGGGGACCAGTGAGTTTGGTGAAAAATACCATTGTGGCACGTCTGGAGATAAGTAAGATTCCTTACCTATCTACAGAAAAGATACAGAATGGGCAGAAGAATCTCCCTTCACACAGCACCTCCACTGCCCTGCTAGCTGATATGCCTCATCCCAGAACTGGAGTGAACAACCATAGGGTGACAGGGTAAGGTCGCTCACCAAGGCAAATCAAATTCTTGGCTTCTCTGCTGAGACAGCAAGCAAGGGAGTCGACTGCTACAACAGAGTTGTTGTGGCACCTGTTCACCAAGAACCAGACTGAGGACACCAACACCCATCATCACACTTGAACAGGAAAGCTCTTAAATGGTTTTAACGATTTCACTATTGACAACCTGGACTGGATTTGAGCTAATGATGCAGAAAGGTTTTTTCTAATTACCACCTTCTCTCCGCTCCCAACAATTAATGTTTGTTAATGGCTCTTTAGAACAGAGCACTTTCAGTGTTAAGATACCAGCACTTTTCCAGCTCCTTCAGTACCCATGAAGTATTAACCAGGCAGTGGGGCTGACAGCATTGCTTGGTCCCTGGGCAAGGTGAGGCGGGTGGGGAAATCTTAAAAGGGGTGGGGCCTCAGGCAGAAGGGGCAGAGTTTGAGCTAACTTCCCCTTGGCAGCCCTCAGCACAGTCCAGAGCACGCCACACCCTCCTAAGGCAACCTAGAGCCATCAGAAGCAGGACACACAGGGCTCCAGCAGCCACTTAAAGGGCCTGGAATTCTGGCCCCCACTACTGACACTGTTGGCAGGCCTAAAAGTGGGAAAGAAAAATTAAATGGTATGACAGTCCACATCCTAAGGATCTATGACTCCCAATACCCAAAGAAGAGTTCTGTGTATGTCTCTTTCACCAACAGAAGTTGAGCCAATAAAAGATGTTACCTCACCTACCTTGTCTCCGACTATCTTGGTAACACACTACAATGGTCCAATAAGCAAGGGCAGAAATACTGGCTTTGTAAGGACTTGGACATAGAACTACTGTATTTTCTGAAAATGTAGAGTGCACCCACTGTCAGAGTCTCCACTTCCAATTTTTAGGACATCTAGTTGTTATGGTTGTGAAGAAAACCTTGAAAATGTGACCCAAGTCTAAAACAATGCAGAGGGATGTGCCTGAGTTTGAAGAGCACCTTAAACTCTACAAAGAGCAAAGAGGATCTGAGGTTGTGGGGTCCAGTGTAGAATCAGCTGAGGATGGAGGCAGGCAGGCTTTCATAGTTTACATATATGAGGAAAATGGATGAATTGCAAAGTTTAGGAGATGGCTGGTTCAGATACTTCAGGGAGAATGTGGCTTCATCTGTACTAAGGAATAGCAATTTATATAGCTGCCTTACAGGCTAGGGCATTTGGTAGGGGCGATTGTTTCAAATGGGTCAATAAAGCAAAATTTCAAAACCATATTGAAAAGCAAATCCTGGCTTGCCATTGACAGTGAAGCCAAGTGAACAGAGCACTAAGGAATACTGGGTTCCATTTCCAGCTCTGCCACTGGCCTGCTGGGGAACTTTGGGCAAGTCCCTCCCCCTCTCTGCACCTCCACTTCCCCACCTCTAAAATGGTGATACTGACATTGACCAGGTTTGTAAAGCGTTTTGAGACTGATTCTAAAGAATAGGTAAATATTAATTTGGCACTATTATTTCAAGAATTGTGACTACCTACTGCCAGCTAGGGAAAGCATCGTGCTGCTATATCAATCGCTGGCCACTGAGTGCTGAATCCAGGCCAGGCTTGTGTGTGTGACGGTAGTGTGTACTGCTTAGGGGGTCAGGGAGTATGGAGGTGTGGGCAGGACTGAGGCAGGTAGACAAGGGATGATGCTCTTGTGGACGCCCTGCAATGAGGAAGCAGGGAAGGATTTGGTAGCTGTTAGAAGAGCCACAGCTCTTCTAGGCTGGGTGCCTGGACCCAGTATGACACTGGCTTTTCTGCTTCCTGCTGTGCTCTAAGGATTGGCTGCACAGGAACATCCACGCATGACCTTGAAGAGAAACACAGGCAGCCAGAACATCGACTCCAGTGAAAACCCAGGGAATAAAAACTGTGATGGAAAGAGGGAGTGAGTGAGCGCGTGTGCGTGTGTGTGTGAGAGAGAGCGCACTCTGGACCTGGTCATGACAGGAAGAGCTTCTAGAAGGGGATTAGCACAAGAGCATAACTTAGAAGCAGACAGCTACATTCCTTCAGACCTCTACTGACCATTCAAAGGATATGAGAGAGACAAGAGAGGGGAAAATGTTCAGAGCAAATGACTAAAAACAAACGACTCAAATCAATTCAATTTAAAACACAATAAATCAATATGAAATATTGTCTTTATCTGGCTCTGCCTCATTAGTACCATTAAAAAATGTCCTCTTTCTGACCCTGCAATGATCCAGGGGATTGCAGGAGGCAGATAAGACAGAGAAGAGCTAGCACAGCACCTTTTGTGGCAATGGGAGTGGAAGAAGGGTAAAGAAATCTAACCGAACAACGTTGTGCATTTATCATGTCACTCATTTCCATTATACAACCCCATTTTTCAGGGGTTTATAACTCAGCCTTAAAAATGTGCTCCAGGCTGCAACTTGGCATTCAAGGTCCCAGTCTGCGGGGAGAGATCTTTCTTTTAATGTAAAACAAAACAACAAAAAGAGATTGTGCTGGTGATTTTTATAGCACATTAATATTTCATTTGCCCCTTGCCATATCCTGATGGGGTCAGCTTGGGTGTATGCAATTAAACACTGCTATCGTAATTGGCCAACGCACCAAAGTTTACAAGAGGGACATTACAGTATGTTAGATTGTTACTGTGCAATATTGCAATAGGAGGGTTTGTTAGGTTCATGTTAAGAATGGAAATGTCACCAGGATTAATGAAATTTGGCAACCAGCTACTCTATTCTAGGGCAAGTCTTTGCTTTATTATTTATGTGTCATTCTTTATTTCAGTTTGTGCTTTGTTGTGCTGATTCAGAGATCTGGGTGCAAGACTAAGTGCTGGAACTAGAGGTGCTGGGAGTACAACAGCATTTCCTAGCTTGAAGTGGCTCCCACGTGCCTCAGTTTATCCATTTGTAGCATGGAGATAGCATGAGCTGCTGTTTCAAAAAGCTTTGAGATATGCGGATGAAAAAGTGTAATATAAGAGCTGGTTAATTATTATTATTATTGACAATTCTCTGGGCTCTAGCCTGCTGTTGATTAAGTGATAGGACCACTACAGGGTCCTCACTACAAGGAAGCCTCAAAATTAGTCCAAGGCAGGCTTTGTTAATGTGGACCTGCTACCTCGACAGATTCCCAAGTAAATAGGAGTAAATAGTTCAAATTAATCTGGGGAACAGTTATTTCGAAATAGTGGCACATCCACACTACCACTATTTCGAAATAACTATTTCAAAATTAGTGTTATTCCACGAGGAAAGCAGGAGCACAGAGTTCAAAACAAGTGTCCCCTTATTTTGAAATAACGGGCTTGGTAGTGTGGATGCTCTGCTTATAAATTCAACCTAAGTGGGTTATTTTGAAATAACTTCCTACTGTACACCAGGGCTTAGTTATTTATTTGGACAGAAAACAAATCCACCATGAAAATGATTCAGAGGAAAAAAAATGTTTCAAAGTAAAGCGCTGTCAAGAGAATAGATTTGAGAACTTCAGCGGAGTTCCTAAGCCATTCACCCACCCCATTGTGGCTAGCTATTACAGCAACAAAAAAGAGAAGTGAAATCACCTCCTCTTTAGATCCCCTTACCCTACCTAGGCACAGCCAGGGCATGGCATGTGTGAGACAATAGAGCCTCAGCCCTAACTGTGAATTTTCTGCCCTTGGCTGGCTTATGTCACCAATTTATCATTATTTAAATTTTCATTTGTGACTACAGAAACTTGAGAGTTAAAACGCTTGGCATTTTATAAGGAGGAAAACTTTGTCTTAGGTTTCTTTTACAAGAGTAAAGACTGGATAAGCTTGGCAGCTGAGTTTGTGTATTAATATATTCCTCCAAGGAAGAAAATCTATAGAAGATGTAATTCCTTTCACAGGCCATACAACTGAAAAACTCTAAGGAGGCCTCTCATTAAAACTTTTTTTTTGACATTCACTTCCTCACAGAATACAACCAAAAAGGTATTTTCTCATTTTGATGCATACACATTTATGCGTGTAGCTTCAGTGGATTCTAACAAGATTTGCACATCCACTGGAGAGAGATTTCCCTCTGGACAACAGGAGCTCAACTTGCTTCCTCTTCTTCCTCCTCTACTTCTCTATTAGCACGGATGCCTTTAGATAATGCTTTATACTTCTACAATACATCTCCAGCAGGACAGGAGCCCCAGGTACTCGTAACATGGTGGCCACCCTCTGAATAACTCCTCACGGACAAAGCTTGCTCTGCAACACTCTGTTTTCCCCATCTTCATGGGTCACCAAGGATCCACCTCTTGTATCAGGGGCTCATCTGAGTGCCGCATTCCCAGCATGTGGAACACAGCAGATCTTCTTCCCAGCTAAATAAGCATTCACTGTCAAGCCCAGTCTCCTTTAAGTAGGTTTATTTGTTCCAATATAAGCCTGTAACTGACAAAATAGAGTCCCTCAGCTCACCCTTTCTCCCAAGGCTTCATGGCCTCCCCTCCAAGAGTCTCTGGTAATGGTGCTTTTTGCAGCTTACCAGCCCTAGATGTCTTCCCTTCTCAACTAGCCCCCTCCTCACAGACAGATCTCATTCAGTCAGCTCTCCTCTCAGCCAGTTGCTCCCCTTTGAAAACACTGCCGTGGGGCTACCCCCCTGACTTGGCCATTTGTTCCAGGAAGCTCCCACAGTGGTTCCTCTTCTCAGACAGGCACAGCTAGTCCCAAACACTCCTCCTCTTTCTGCTCCCTGACAGGGCTTAGCCCAGTTTCCTTTAATTAACTCACTCAGGCCCACTCACTCTGACTCGCGGGCAGTGGGCCTGGTCTACTCACAGAGGCGAGCTACTCAGTAACTATGTTTTAGACTGAATACAGAAAACAAAATTGATGGAAAGCAGAGAAGTGGGGGGGACAAACATTCCTTTTTGCAGAGGATTTCAAGATTTCAAAATTTGACTTTATTCCAAAGTGGAGCAAAAGCAGAAAACTTCAGAACTGTCCATGAAGGAAAAAAAATGGTTATGGGTCATCTGAAACATTATATTTTGGAAAAAATGGTTCTGTTTTTTCAATTTAGACTTTTTATAAATATATAATATGATACAAAATAAAAAGATGAAATGACATTTCACAATGAGAAACCGAGACATTTCAACATGTCAAAATATGATGTTTGGATACCATTGGACCCTTTTTTGCTTCCCCCCCCCAACAACATTCTGGCAAAACTGACTCAATTTCACAAAGCTTTTCAATTTTTGACAAAAAATTGACGAAAAAAATCAGTAAAATACTGTGAAAGGTTTCTCTGATCAGCTGTTAAAGAAAGCCGGACGCATTTAAAAGTAAGACTAGAAAATGCCTCTGAGGATGTATAACATGGTTTATATCCTGAGCTGGCAGAAGGTGTCCTAGGCAACCTAGAGAGCATTTTCCCCATCTGTAACCCTTACAATTCACTTTAGCCATCATTGATATGGGAAAAGGCATAACCAGTCATTCCTGCAGCAGGAAACCAAAGTCTTTTGTCCTGTATGCAAATGGAACTACGGTACGGTGAATTTTGTCTAAATGATAGCATCAATGCTTTAGTAGCATTTTTCATGATTGCAGCAACTCATTCCCAAAAAGCATACTAACATCATTAATGCAGATAAGCTGCCAAAGCTTTCATGTTATGTTTCAGCTGAAAAATACCCACTCTGTGCAGTCAAAGTCCCTTAGATGCACAGGACAGTTGCAAAACCACTACTACTGAGGCAAAGGCATCTTTTCCTAAATCACCACCATCAGCACTTCATGCAATCGTTGGAGGTCTCCAAACCGAGCAAGGCCTAGGCTGCACACTGTTTATGTGGGGAGATTGAAGCCCAAGATGTTAAGTTATAGTGGTTATTCTCTTATGGGCACTAAGCTCATGAATGGACATAACCTCTTGTTCAACTGTTTCTTTAAAGCCTCTGATTATGAGATTCTTCAGCATGAAAATATGTTGCATCTGCCTGTCTAGCAACAGATGCTCATTTTACAAATTTAAAAAGGGTGTATGTGTGTTTGAAATGCCCTAAGGAGAATTAGTCTCTGGATAATACAAAGCAGATCAGGGAAATGCTCAAAACAGCTTTTAGAGTGAATCCTGTTAAGAGAAAATAAGGGGCCTGTTTTAGAGGAAACGATATGTCACCAATGAAACCAAATTAATTTCATGTCTGGCAAAGAGAATTATTTGTCATGGATGGCAGTTTCAGTAAAGCAGCCATTAGACTTCATTAGTTTACAATAGACAAATGTAAGGTAAATTAATCTCATCTTGCTTTAAATACAATTCACCCTCCAATACCTGAATCCGTCTTTATTTGCCTCGGTGAGATGGCAGGTCCCTCCATTCTGGCATGGATTCTGAATGCAGGCATTAATAGGCATATTGCAGTCCCGACCCTGATGGGAAAGTTCAAGAGAAATTCAGTTAGTTACACACAGAGCAACAGGATTAATTTATCTTATATACTGGGCTTTGTTCTCTTTTCTGTTTGCACTGACAGAAAAGATGTAGTCTTCCAAGCAATCACATCACCTGGCATTCTTTACTGAACAACAGACATTGCTTGAACCAAGCTTTTGGGAAAGCAGGGCGACAATAATGGCCCGTATTGAGAGGTGTAGCCGGCTACTGTTTGGGTTTGAAGTCTGGTTAGTTATTTTTTCACCTACCGGTTGGTCTTAACCTTATGGAAATATTCTTCTCTAATATTAGTTACACATTGAAATGAGAGGTACCCCCAGGACAGAGCACAGTCAGTATGCCCTCGGCAGCACTTACAAGTACTCAGTCAAGTGTAACAGCAGCACACAGAACACAATACTAAGGACAGCCAAAGCTTTAAGGTCAAAGCTTATGATTTCTGCTGGTAGTCCCAGCTGAAATTCATCTACAAAGTACAGTGAAATCTATTCAAAATACCATCCTTACTAAGCAGCCTTGTGTTTTTAAGAGAACATCCAAAATATCTCTGAGTGCAACAACTACAATAATTCTGTCCCATCATTACAGGAAGACTACCTGTGTTAAGCAACCAATTTTTGTTGGTCCTTTGAGTGACTGTTAAAACAGGTACCACAGGACCTTGTATCCTGCTGGTTAAAGCTGAACCAGCCATAGATTTGATATTTACATCTCAGAGACTGGTCTTTTCCTTTGAGTTATTTCAGAGCATATTATCAACTGAGGAAACATCCAGTCTGCCAAAATCTGTGCAATCTCATGAAACTGAAGGGATCTGCCCAGTGACCCTAGAGCAGATCTGTTTCTGAAAGAGCTCTGCAAAACCACTTTGAGAAACACATTAGCTGGCTGCCCTGGTTTGTTTATTTACTGGTGCCGTGGCCACGGAGCCTTGCAGCTCCCATTGGCTCCGTTTCATCCTTTGCAGCCAAGGGGAGCTGTGGGAAGCGGCGTGGGCCGGGCCACCACTTCCTGCTGCTCCGCTTGGCTGCAAAGAGCAAAATGGAGCCAATGGGAGCTGCGAGGCTCCGTGGCCACGGCGCCAGTAAATAAACAAACCGGGGCGGCCAGTTAATGTGTTTCTCAAAGTGGTTTCACAGAGCACTTTCAAAAACACTGCCCTAGAGGCTGATCCCTCCACAGTGTGTCTCTATTAGATTTGCGTCTCCAGCTAATCCATTCAGACAATTCTGGCAATAAATAACCACACTCTAAGATAAGAGAAATACCTCACATTAAACCAGAAGAGTATTTTTGGTTTAAAATCATGGTTCACATCGTGTGTTACTAAAATAACATTTTTGTGACTAATGTGTAATAGGACAGATCCTTCCCCTAAGCCAACAGGGACAGAAGTGGCTGCATGCAACATTGGAGAACCTAGCTTCCATTTAAATGTATTCAGTGATGATTTGTCTTCAGGTTTGGTTAACTTCTTGCAGACCCATCTGTTCTTAGACCATCCATGGTGTCCAACCAGTGAACTAGCCACACTCAAGTGGCCAAATAGCCACATATGGCTAGTGTGTTGGACACCACGGGTATATAAAGATAAACAGCCATTATCATAACAGAATACTTGTTCTTCTGTCCGCCACTCCCTCTCTTCATTGTTACATCCTGTTACGTCAGTCAAAACATAGGCCCCAGGCCTGCAAATGGACCCCAGACAAGTGCAAAGGTTCACACACATTGATACAACTGCAGGATCAAGGCTGGGTGTAGGAGGCTCATCAGGGCTGTTTTTAAGGCAGCTGAAGTGCCTATCATGCTATATAAATGGTATGTAAATACCAACAATCCAAAACCGTTTCAGGCTGGCTCCCCTTGTGTTTGGTGTAGCCTCTTCAGTTTCAACGAGCCAGGACATTTTAGAAACCAACCAGTAGTAAGGAGGAGTTATAGAGGAACTGCTGAATAGGGCTGATAGCTGTTTTCCCCTCGCGTTGCTCACGCTGTATATTCCATGTAGATTCTTATATGCTCTCCGCCCCAAATATAAGAGTCTCACAAATGTTGCCGATGCTCCGATTCTGAAGGTCAGGGAAGTAGAAAAACCCAGGTCCCAAAAGCAGGAGCCAGACCTGATCACACAGTGGAATGATCAGGGATTAGCAAAGCCCACTCCCCAAATTAAAAAGAATGAGTGGGCACGCTGGGACCTGGATTGGGAACTGGCCCAGGTACAGGTCACACCTGCCAAAACCAGAATTCTCTGGTCCAGAAACATCCACGGTCTGGCAGGACCATGGATGTTCCTTGAGCCAAGAACCCCAGTAGCCTAGTGGCAGGAAGGCGATCCAGCAGGGGTTGGGTTGAAGCAGCGGGATGGGGCATAAACTGGTGATAGCCCCCAACAGCTTGCTGCACTGGGACTGGGTCAGGGCAACCCCCAGCACTGCAGGATAGGGGCGGTGGCAGCCCGTGGAAGTGAGGCTCAAGACTGTGGGCTGCCGCGGGGAAGGAGGCCACGTTCTCGGCAGCCCGCAGCAGAGGGACTGGGTCTGGAGCTGGAGAAAACCCCAGTAGCATGAGGCTGGAGACCATGGCAGTGTGGGCTGCTGGAGTCCAGAAGGCAGTCCAGCTGGGGCAGCAGCAGTGCGGTGGTCAGTGACCCAGCAGGCAGCCCGGCAGGGGCTGGAGGGAGTCCCTCCACCTCTTCCCCCTCCCCTGCAGCTGGCAGAGATGGAGGCTGAGCGCTGTGGCAGGGAACCATTCCTAGTCTGGTAAATCCCCTGGCTTGGGACCAGTCAGGTCCCGAGGGTGCTGGATGGCCAACCTGTACTTTCGGCTTCACCAGTCCCCGAGTCTCCACCCGGCAGCTTAGCATTCTCCATTTGAGTCATTCACTCCAAAACGTCTCGGAAGAGAGGGGGAGGGATGCTGGAAGCTCATGCAGCTTTTGTCCCACTGCACTTACAGGATGCCAGCTATGGCAGTGTTGCCTTTTTTTGTCCATCTGTCTGGCAAACCCCATGTGTTCGACAATCCACTCTATTCAAGCTGGGATGATGTTGTGCTTACTATTTCTCAGCACAAATGCTTTCCCACACCCTGGTAAATGGAGCAATTCGCAGTTGATTCAATACTGCAGGTATTTTTTCAACATTACACGTGCTCAGTGATCAAAGTCTGAAACCCTCTGTGAACTAACTAAGCAGAGCAAGAAGCAAAACAAAAAGCTAGTGTTTGTTTTTTCTAAAGGCGGTACATACACACTCATAACAGCATTTCAAACCCCAGGTAACAATATTCACATTTCCAAGGAAACTTGCATAGATCCATAAAATGTGACAGTTAATAAAGATCCATGTTAAAATGAAATCACCCCCGTTCTAAAGCATTTTCTAACCCTTCATATCTGCACATGCCATCTGGATGAATTAGAGCCTGGTTTCACTGATGCACTGCCCAGGCCTGTACTACTGGGTTTGCAGGACTTCAGACACCACTGAAACTGGGCAATGTTTTTTTTACCAAATCAGACTTTCAATTATAACAATGATACAAGTGTGTTATATAGGTGAGAGACTAGGTAAAAAAAAACCTGCCTCAGTTTACCCATTTCTAAAAACTGGACCCTCTCTCTGATCTCATGAGTGTCAGCTGTCTCCACTCTGAGGGTGTGACTACACAGCATCCTAAACTCGACATAAGAGAAGCAATTTGCACTATGCAAATTGCATATCTTATTTCAAATCTATTTTGAAATAGCTTATTTTGAAATTTGGCGCATGTACACAGCACCACATTTTGAAATAATGCACTGTTTTAAGCCATCCCTTATCCCTCACGCAACAAGATTTGCTGGGGTGCTGAAATGGCATGCCCGTTATTTTGAAAAATACTTTGAAATACCGGGCGGCTTGTGTAGATGCGGGGTAGCTATTTCAGGAGACCTTTGGTATCCTGAAATAACCATGCAGTGTAGACGTACTCTGAGTTCCCTTTACAGAAAAGTGTTATGCAAGTGAAATATTTTATTGTACACAAAACTGTGTATAACAGAGAGTAAGAAAAGCCTATTTAAATTATCAGTATTGAGTAAGCTACAGCTAATCATGATACTTCACTTCTGAATGTGAGTGTCCATGCAGGGATCTATGTGCTTTAATTTCACAGCTTGAGTTACTGCTTGAGCATTCCCATATAGAAAAGCCCTAAAACATGCTGAAAACATCTTTCAAATAAACATTGCAAACCTCTGGTCCCAATTTACAATAATACTGGCATATTTAGAAAAGATTAATTTCAAAAAGTGTCAAGTACCAATTCTCAATTCAGTTTATTTCCCTCTTGAACTTGAGACAACTCTGACCTACATACCCTGAAAATTAATTATGTCTGTTCTCAAAAAGCGAAAACATTGAACATTTGGTCCCAAACTAAGGGTGTGTGAATTGTGCTTGAACTGGAAAAGATGTGCAAGCTTTGCTTTCAAATATCTGGCCTTTAAACAGAAAACAACACTGTCATAGACGATTGTCTCAGTGATTCATGCTGCTAAACTGAAATCCCTCTTTTGATTGTAACACTACTTTTAGGGATTTGCAACGCTACTCTATACATTTTGTAGTAGTCTCATGGTAAGGCAAAAACATCAGCCTATGCACATTTTCTTATGAGATTTGGGGGAAAAAAATCACTACCTTCTCCCTCCAAAAATCTGTTTGGCCACTCCCATAAAAGAGGGGAGGAACAACATGGATTTTGACATAAAGTTCCCACAAATGGATAGGCAGAATGCATACAGCCTCACATTTGGACTTCACAGATACCCATGTAAATATGGAGTAAATCACTCTGCTCCAACTATATTAGAGTTGCTCCAACTGAAAATTCCAGTGAATAGGCAGAATCTGGCCAACATTGCTTAGAAAACTTACATTCTTCTTTTAGTCCCATTATTTAAATAAATGGGGGGGATAATGCTGTA